CGCAGGAGGCGGCCAAGATCTACCACACCAACTACGTGCGGAACTCGCGCGCCATCGGCGTGCTCTGGGCCATCTTCACCATCTGCTTCGCCATCGTCAACGTGGTGTGCTTCATCCAGCCCTACTGGATCGGGGACGGCGTGGACACGCCGCAGGCGGGCTACTTCGGGCTCTTCCACTACTGCATTGGCAACGGCTTCAGCCGGGAACTCACCTGCCGGGGCAGCTTCACGGACTTCTCCAGCCTGCCCTCGGGAGCCTTCAAGGCTGCCTCCTTCTTCATCGGGCTCTCGATGATGCTCATCATTGCCTGCATCGTCTGCTTCATCCTCTTCTTCTTCTGCAACACAGCCACCGTCTACAAGATCTGTGCCTGGATGCAGCTCACCTCGGGTGAGTGGGGGACTCCCGGGGGGGATACAGGACCTCCATGGGGGTCACCCCGGCACAGCGCCACCGGAGAAGCAGGGATGCATCAGCATCCCTGGAGCGCGGGCTTGGTGACCCCCGGCTCTGCCCTTGCGCCCTCCTGAACAGCAGCTGTGGCCCCCGCGCCGGGGCCATTGCGCAGCTGGGCGGGAAGGCACCTCCAAACTCAACCAGGTTCATCCAACTGCCCCTGCGCCCCGAGGAGGGCTCGCACGTTTATCCCTGCACCAGCAGCCCACACCCGTCCTCTAGGACCTGGTCTTTCAGGAAAGGTCGGGAGAAAATGGGAGTGGGAGCTTGTAGGGACACCTCAAGCTGGTTGCGGAAGGCAAAGTCCCTAGCCCAGGTTTCCACCTCACAGCAGAACCTGCCTTGGCTCAGTGAGGTTAGTGGGGTAGTGTCCGCTGGCCAGGTGGAAGGGCAGCTGAGGTCATTGGGTTTTATACACCCGAGTTTCTCGTTGGGTCCTGTGCCTCCTATTTGCAGGGTTTATATTCCTCCATATGCTAGAAGGGGGGAAAAATCATTTCAGTTACTGATTTTGACTCAGATATCTCTTGTTATCATTTGACTTTCCCCTTCACATCCAGTGTTTGCCTTGGGAAAGTGCATGGTAAGGGAGGGAAAGCACCAGGACATCCCTGCCTGCATCTCTGCCACAGCTTCCCTGCTGGGTTGGTAGAGACCTGGAGGTCGTTGTGCTGCTGGGAGGCTGAGGAGGGGACCAGAATGGTACCTAGAGTTGTGATAGTAATGAAATCACTTCTACCGAGAGGGAAAAAGATCAGGTTTTTAACAATTTGGGAGTTTGTCTGAAATAAAATTCTACCTTCCTATCTGTCCTCCTTGTAAAGCCCTGAAATTGAGAAGTTTGGGCTTTGTAGGAATAAGCTTTTGGAGAAACAAAGTGAAATGTCTCCAAAGTGGCTTCACAGTCACGTCTTCAGCCCCCTTAACTGGCCCACACTAATTTCAGTTTCAGAGCAGAAATTCACAGTTGTTTGCTGAGTACCTCCAGCCTTACTGAATTTGCCAATTAGTCCATAAGGCTTAATGGAAATTTCTTGTTTCTACTAAATGCCTTTCTCTATTTTTTATGTGTGATGCTCTTTATGTGTGTGTTATAAATATTCTTATGTCTTGATGTTGCTATATTTTAAGTTTCTGCAATTTTTTCTTTTCTTTATCCCTTGGAAATTGATCCTGCAGTCAGTTGAGGCTGGTAGATTTTCCATTGTGAATAGGACTGGTCCTATTCAATATTCACAATAGTTTTCCTATAGAATTCCTATTCAATTCACAATAGTGTCCTAGTCCTTGCACTGGGAATCCTGTGTGAGGCTGGGGCTGCTTTTTCTCTTCATCAGCACATGTTCACATATTGGTGTTGATACTTGCACCCAGTCATGTCACTTGGCTCCAGGAAGAGCAAGGTGCATATTCTGAGCACCACTGACATCTCCTCTACTCCACGAAGGACTTTTGCTGTCAGCTCTTTCCTCTCCATAGGGCTCTGCTGGTACCGGGTAGCATGAATATTCACTGGCTTGGTGCATCCTCAGCCTGCTTTGTTCATGTCCTGTATGCAGCATAACAGCCCAATTTCTAGATCCCATATACTTTCTGATGTGAGAGAGACAGTGTTTTTCTATATGGTTCTACTGCTTTATGCCAATGGAAGCTAGTGCAAGGTGGACATAAACAAATCGGATTACTGCATTTCTGTACAAGTGTATAATAATGCTTAGAAACCAATGAGTAGTATTGTTCCATGTGAGTCCAACCAGGATACACATCACTGCACGAGCATTGCCCTGCAAATGTGCTTTCAGGCAAAATGGCATGCAGTTTGCATCACCTTCCGCACTGACAGATGTACTGTTTGCACTGAAGTCAACAAAAAGGAGTTTTACATCAATAGCAGAATCAGAAGCACTTCTCAGACCCCTTACCTCCAAAATGGAAATTAATTCTAATTCTCCAGAATTCTTTCTTAGGGGAATAGATTTACAGTCAGATAGTTATTGGTCATCTTTCACTGTTTGCTGTACGTGAATGTCCTGGAAGAAGAAGAACTAAAACAATGTTGGGTATTGAAAGAGGCTTACTTTGTTGTTTGCTCAGTGTTGTAACTTAATTTACAGTTTACCTGACTGTTCATTTTTGCATTACCTCAAAAAGAGAGAAAGCTACCAGAAAAAACACACTGGTATGGTTTGCATCCTGTGAAAAAGAAAGCTATGATGCAGGATATAAGTACAACTTACAATAAAATGTGCAGGGCAAGTGAGTTTTAGTGAGCTCTGATAGGTTTCTTATGAGCTGTATCACCCATTTCTGTTATTATTTTACTCTTTTGAGAATATAAGAACTAGCAATAATAAGCTTAAGATGCTTATCTCTTAAATTACATTATAGTAATGCCACCTACATATACATATACATATAGTTCTGCATTGTGCAGGAAGAAGATTGAACTTGAAGTAGTAAAATAAATATGAATATAGTTATGATTTTACTTGTTATTGTTTAGTAGCATTCAGTTATAATCACATGATAATACTTTAAATTAGAGTAGTTTAAATCTCCTCAGAAGCACTTTTTCGATTTGGGATTGTGCTTCATTTAGGATTACGTATAAAAGCTTAGGATCTCGTTTCTTTAAAAGAAACCTTGTGATCACATGCTGTCCTGCATGAGTCATTATAAATTCTTAGCATGATATAGCTCTCGTTTTGAAAAGGTGTTTTTTATGTAAGGAAAAGATAAGTAGCATCTCGGATGTGTGCATTTTGAGTCCTTGTCTCTACCTAGTCATATCTCTGACATGATTGAGCAGAAAATTCATACAAAAAATACTTTGTTTGTGCGTGTGAGAACAACATACATTAGACTCCCTTGTGATTTTGCAATTGCTGATGCTGTTTTTTGTTTTGTGTGCAAAATGCTATCAGTGTACATTTTATATAATGAGAGCTTGTATTGACAGCCTGGCTTGCCAGCCCCTAGCCTCTGCTTCTGCAATTTCAAAATCATAAGTACAAGTACTTGCACCTACACTTACTTAATCTGAGCAGCTGCATGAGCACAACCTGAGTAGTCTCCATCACTGTACTGCTGGTTGAAGTGTTAGAAACAAAGCAATATCAGTCTTTGCTACACCACATCTAAAGGTAGCAAGGAACCTCACCCATGAAGACATTTCTTGATTTTTTTGTTGTACAAGTTAAATAAATCAAACGGTCTGATTCTGTCGCTGTGATTTTTTTCACTGTTAGACATTTGTCATTTATTTTTCCTTGACAGTGACATTACAAGTTCCAGGAAAGAGAAAAGCAGACAAAGCAAAGAAAGACATAGAAATGTTCCAGGGACAAATAGCATGAAAACAAATACGTAGGATTTCTAGTAGATCCCTAAGTCCATGCCCAGAGTAAGAGGAGAGTTTAACTAAACCAGCTGCACTGTGTCAAGCTGAAGCCCCGTCTAGTCCAGTATCTTGTTTCTTGCAGACCAATAGTCACCATGTCCACAGAAGAATATAAGAGCAGGAGAAGCTTGTTTTGCCCAAGAGCCTCTCCCAGCCTCCAGCACTTGCCTGTGCAGGGAATTCCTGCACCAGACCCTTTGCACTTAAGAGCTCTGGGTGGAATTTCTTTTTTATGACTTTATGTGGTCGCTTCCTGAATCTGTGTAAACCTTTAGCATTTACAGTGTCCAAAGCAGAGTTCCACAACCTAATGCATAATGATGTGAGAAGAATCAACAGGATTTTATTTTAATGTTTTGGACCTTATAGCTGTGATTTTACGTTGATACCCCCTAGCTAGTGTATTGGAAGAGGCTGTGAACAACAGATCCCTAAACACCTTCCATGTGCCATTCCTGCAGATAGACCTTTTGTCATATCCCCCTCAGTTACTGTTTTTGAAAGTTGAAGAGACCTTATCAACGGATCCCATAGCTGTTAGGATGACCCATGCCTTTGATTATCCTTGCTTGATGATCCTTGCCCTTGTTTGAACTAGTTCCTATCTGTCATCTACTGCATCCTTTGGTGAGTCCAGAACTATACACAGCATTGAAGATACAGCTAAACCGGCATTTCATACAGTGGCATGATGGTATTCTACCTTTCATTCTCCAATCCTTTCCCAGTAATTCCTAACATTCTTTTTTTTTTTTTTTCTGTTAGTGAGCAGTAGGCTGATATTTTTATAAAAATGCCTATTATAACCCCAAAATCTCATTCCTGAAGTGGTAAGAGTCACCTTGGAGCACATTTTGCATGTAAAGTTAGTTTTCCACCGCCTCTAAAGGATCTACTTCATATATATTCATCTCCACTGAATTGCATTGGCCTTTTTATTGACTAGTTACTTAATACTGTGAAGTCTTTCTTCACAGTCAGCCCTTATCCAAGCTCCTCTGAAGAGTATCAGCTGCAAACTATGTCACCTCACTATTCACCCTGTTTTCCAGATCATTTGTAAATATGTGAAGTTCCAGCACAGATCCCTGCAGGACTCCACCAGTGACCTCTCTCTACTCCCAAAATTGACATTATTCTTCTACCATCTGTTTCCAATTATTTATCCTTGCAAGGACATTCCTTTTTATCTTCTAAAATTTAAAGGAGTTTTTTTTCTTTTTTAAGATTTCTCGGTGATGGATTTATCAAATGTCTTTTGGAAATCTAAGTAGACTTTGTTTTCCAAATTTCCACAGTACACTGTGACTTCTTCAGAGAACTCAGTAGTTTGGTCCATTTGGCAGCTTGGTGAAACATGACTTAAAATAGCTGTGTTGGTCCTGTCTTCTTTGCTTCCTTTCATACAACAAAAATGCCATCTTTGTGTGTGTGCCCACATATTCTTCTGTCTTATTCTTTTGTTCTTATTTGTTTGCCCTGGGCAGACATCAAGCTTTCTGTAGTTTTGCAGATTTTTCCTGGACCTGTTTAAAAACTGTTGTCACACTAGCCAATTTCCAGCCTTTTAGACCCAAAATAGTCTTAAGTGAAAGGTTACAAGCCATAATTAAAAGTTCATTTAAAAAAGGGTATTGTTTCAGAATGAAAAGGTGAAATTTTTCATTGCAGCTT